AGCTATGCTTGGAGATATTGCGTGTTTAGCTATGCGTAAGGGCTATTTGTACATCTGTGAGTGTTATTTGTTTGCATTCTAGTCAGATGTTTTTATATGTCAAATTTACTTTTGTCAAAGAAAAAAATGAAACATACTTTTTAATATTTTTATCATTATTAATTATTATATTAATTATTATTTTTAAACTAATAATTTTTATTATTATTATCTTTATTATTATATTTAAAATTTATATTTGTATATATATATATATATATATATATATATATATATATATATATATATAAAATACACGTGAGATATATATATTTTATTTATTTAAATTTTTATTTTTATTATCTTTATTATTATATATAAAATTTATATTTGTATATATATATATATATATATATATATATATATATGAAGGGCAAAGACACGTGAGCTATAAATATGTTAATTATTTGAACACTTTAAATACGAAATAATTTGTTTTCGATGTGGGATCGAACAAGGTGCGTGGAATTAAAGCAATGTTAAAAAAGTATGTGAAATTGAATAAATCATCAGAAATTCTAGAAATGTTAAATGGTTTTGTACTTGATTTTTTTTTAATGAAAGGAAGTTTACAGTTTTACATTTCAAATTAGTTAGACAATAAATTCTCTTTTTTTATAAATACTTTTTGTTATTTATGTAATTATCTTAAAGGGAAGCTATTATAAGTATGTTGTTTGCAAATTAAAATATTTGGTTTACTTCCCACTTTCATTAATACTACAAGTAAAGAAACAAAACAACAGTTTTGAAATAAACAAAAAGTATTTTTTATTTTAAATTTCAAAACAGTTTCTCAGATAAAAAACCTGTTTCAAATTTTCAAAACAATATAAATATAGTTTAAGAAAAATATATCGATATCTATGTTACATTGGGAAATGCCGTCCGGGGGGGGATGGGGGGCGTCAAGCGTGAGCTCTTAATGCCCTCCCCAACGCACCTCCACACTGCCTAGACGCCAGGTCTCCCCGATTCCGGACCGTGCGGGGGCACGACTTGGACCTTCCCCGGCCTGGACCGCGCCAACCACTCCCGCTCAATTTGATTTGCAGATGGAGGCCGGGACGTCCGGTCGACCAAAAACGCTGGTTTAAGCGTCCGCAGCCGACTCTCCCAGGGAGTTGGGATGGTACATTCACGTCCTAGTATCTCCCCCCCCCCCCCCCAAATCCCGGGGAAAGTCTGACGCCCTTTTAGAGGGGTTCTACTGTGGGTTCCAGCCCGCAACTAGATTGCGAAGTAGCTGGGGTGAAATGGTTGCCAATGAGCAGTTTTCTCAGGGCTGCATATTTATAATCATTTGCTAGAGGCTTTCACGTTAGCCTCTTGCCTCATATCCATTAGCGGCAACTTGCAATCATGATCCCTACCCCGTCACTGCCTTTGCTTCCAACTGTAAAACGTTACATTTGTCAGCCTTTCAGGTGCTGTTTTTATTCCGGCAGGTAACCTGCGTGTCCATTGTCTGCCCACGCTGAAAACGCAGTGGTGGTCTTGTTCCCCGGGTAGCGTGGAGGAGGGTCCGGGTGGCCGACGTCTCCTAATGGGCAACCCACCCCAGACGGGCTAGCAAAAGGCAAAAACTGTTTAAAATATTTAATACGGTTCCTTTTCATACGCATGACAACTATAAAAAAAAAAAGTCGTTTATAAATATTCACACATTTCATACTCAGCATTAGACGCTTAACTATCAAGATCATGCAGCAAACCAACTCTAAAAATCACACTCTTTCATGCAAGAGAACTTTCTGTACGATTTACCATAGAAGCTTAATTATTCGTAAAACAAACACTTATCTCCTTAACTTACTCTCCGTCTAACAGTGAGTGGTGTCATCCTTGTATATATCATTGTATTAGGAAATAGACCATTTATATCTTTTATGAAAATAGAACCATTAGTTCATAGCTTGTTGTAATTACAACAGTTCAAGACACAAAGAGTTTTACTCTATTCATAAACAATCATATTCCTTTTAAGAAGGCAAATAATGCATGGAAGATAATTCTGATATTATTCGGAATCTAACTGAAATAAAATAGGTAGTTCCCATACCAGAATGATTGTTCAAGAAAAAAAGAAACTTCATATTATACTTTAGTTCATGATCCGCACTGTAGAATAAACATGTTCTCCTATAAATCATACAATCCCATTATAATCTTTGCCCACCCAAGTCCCCAATTAATATATTAAAAATAACCAAAAATCAAAGACAATAAAGTAACATGAATAAATAAACTAAAATTTTTTATTACTTTGTGTACACAATACAATCCGACTAAAATAATTTTTTGAGAAACTAATTCTATATTTTTAACAAATAGTTTGTTTTTTTTCTTCTGTTTCACTAGCTAGGATTTTTATATCACGTTTTCATCGAAAAACCTTCAGACGATATTGGTACACAGACTAGCATGGTTGTCAAAATTGATAATTTTCAAAGCAGGATCAAAGGCCAGCCCGTCCGGACATGCCATGATGGAAGTAGTCAGAAACCTACACAGGATGAACTGTTTACAGTCCTCAGCGTAGGCGTGCAATCCATCTGCCGCCATCATCTCCCGGCAATAATTGGAATAATCTAGAAATTAACATGAAGCATGAGAACAAATGTATTTCTAAAATACAAATTTGAAAAAGAGTTATTGGGCAAGAGCTAACCACACAAGTGCCATTTATTATAAACTTTTTTGAGGCACACTCACAATGTCATAAAGGTTTCTGTTAAGAAAACTATAGGGGAAATTAAATTGGGGACTCGAACTATTTTACAGAGTTGATGTCCATGTTGCGGGTCATTTGATCTTGTTTTTACGTGATTTAACTGTCAATGTTCAAATGCCGGTCCAATGTTGAGTCTAAACAATAGCAGTGAGGTAACTGTTCTACTGATATTGACAATCCAACCGAGAAGCAATTCGCATACATATGATGTAGCCCATCCACGATCCATGGGGTTAATATCGGAAGGCCCTCAGCCAGCACTGTGATCCTGTAACACTATTGTACTTGGATACAATGAAGTTACATTTGTTCCTAAAAATATATATTTAATTTTTTTTTGTTTCGTTTGATTTTTGTCAATTCTCTTTTCTTTTTTAATTTTAAAATATGTTTTCTTATTGTCACAGATATGAATGTGTGGGAGATAAGTAATATTGGAGTTATTACTTATGTAATATACAGAGTATTGGGACTTAGAGAAAACTGGCCAATGAGAAGAGAGCAAGGAGTGGAACAAGAAATGGTGGTTAAATAATATGACAGTTAATTCACGATATTTACATAAGAAGGGAAGAGAAAACGTTTATGTTTCAAATGAAGATCTATAGTGTTATGACACTTTATCAAGGAAAGAAGTTTACCGAGAAGCTAGGATTGAGATACATTATATACATTCCAAGTATTTTCGGATTTCGTATGTTCGGCATGAGAAGTAGACCTATATATATAGTATTGACTGTTCCGAGTCTTTTGATCTTGTGTAAATAAGTATTAGTCAGTATTATTTGAACCACTAGGCCTCTGTTATGAATTACAAAACATTGTAATTGTGACACTTATATTTATATTATTTGTATATAATTGAAATAGGCTTTTCCTGTCGACACGTGATTTAAAGTGTATTACAGTACGTAGCTAGTATAGATAACTAATAACAATAAAGCGCTCGAGAGGAAAATTAAATTCGAATTTTTCTTTCTAGTACGCAAATTGCCAGCAGGTGCTTTGCCATTTATGTAGTTTCAATCTCTTTCAAAGGATTTTGCATGAACTTTTTAAGCAATTTTGAAATGTTCCAGATGTTTTGACCCTGGTTTTGTAAATACATGTTTGAACAGGAGAGAGTTGCAGAATGATTTCGTTAGGACTGGAAGGATCGGTTGGGGGGTGGGGAATTAGACATTGAAGAAGCTTATGAGGGAGGGACGAGAACATACTTAGAAAACTGTGTTTGTGCCAGGAGGCATGGGCGCCCACAGGGGGGGGCAAGGGGGGGCACTTCCCCCCACCCTTGGATTGATTGGATAAAAAAAATTTTAGACAAAAATAGACAAAAATCTATTAAAGTAAAGAGAAAATAAAGAGAAAGTAACTAAGCTGATGTCCTGTCCGTTCGTTCACCATACAAATACGATACAGTAAATTAAAACTATATTAAAACATTACTAAAAAAATTGTGCCCCCCCCGCCTGGAAAGTTAATCGATTTTTTTGCCCCCCCCCCACATAGAAAGTTTTCTGCGGGCGCCCATGCCAAGAGGTTTGGGTAATAAAAGAAAAACAACAACTTTAAATTTCGTTCACAGAAGAAGAGACCTTACGAATCACCCAGAACTCTACATTTAAAGAAACAAAACGCGTTGTGTTGATTAAAACCTATTGCTTGGCAGTGTTAGATAAGCCACCATCACTTCAGAGGTTTCAGTGTATGAGAATAAATATTTTATTAGGAAATCACTCGGTCTTTCAAAGAAGGGTGAACGCGTTTAAAGCAGGCATTTGTGGAAACTGTTGAATTTCCGCCCCGGCAGTCAGCCATATTTAATCAATAGAAAGGCTTGTATTTAAATTTATTAATAGTTTGCGAATTAAAAAAAATATATTTCTTGTCCGCTACCTTGTTTACAGATAGCTTTTGTGATGTCCTCCGTCAGGTTATGGATGACACTGTAGCTCTCTGCGCTGAAGACCTTCGTCTCAGAGCCGGTGATGCCTACTAGTTCTCGTACGTCATTCATAATGGCAGTGCCTGCCGTTAATATATCGATAACATCGGGTGATATATTCTAGTTATTTAAGAGTGATGTCAAGTTAGGCTTAATTTTTTATTTTAAAATCTTTTAACATTTTTGTCCTTGGTAAAAATTCTTGTGGTCGTACATTGTGTGTGAAAACATAAACAATTTCTTTTTTAAATAGAGGAGGGAAAAAACAACAAACTACGAGCATGTAAAATATTATTCTTTATAATGATGAGAAATTATGTTTAAAAAAATAAATAATATTATGTTAATGAACAAAACAAAACAACAACAATATGGTGAGTGAAACTCATTACGGTTTCGTGAATGTGATTGCTAACTTTAAAACAGTTAACCTGATGTACATTCAACCAAAATCGGTTCTCTGTTGGAATTCTTCGTAGATGACTTTGGAAAATAATGGTGTGCTGTCTGACTATCCTATTCTTATCTTTAATTCAAAATTCTTAGAATTTTCATTCTAACGTTCTATAAGATCCAATATTTTACAGTTTGCAAATCTATTTTCTCGTTTTCATATTTATTATTGTATTTTTAGCACTGACGTACAACACCAATGGGAATCCACTTAGCGTTCATCAACTGGAATACTGTCCATTAAGTGGAATGATCGTATCTAAAGTTGTAATTGTCGTTGCAGTTAACTTGACTCAGCGTATCACAAGCTCCCGTCCTTGAGTTGAACCGCAGACCCGTTGGGCACTGCAGGTTGTAGGTTGCCCCATTCACACACTCGACAAATTGGTCGCACTTGGTTCTGTCCGGGTAGATGCCTCTCGGCAGTCGGAAGTACTCGCAGACAATCTTGATTTCTGAAATAAGTGAATGCCTTATCACAGGTGGATATCGATATGTATAAATAAATATGTATACTAGCCAATTTACCCGGCTTTGTTCGCGTTGTTTTAGGAATGAATCTCATAAAGCGTGATAAGCGAGCACGTCCTCAAAAACACTTCGTTAAAGTAATTACTAATGTTAAAATGTTCTCCATTTAAAAGCCAGATTTATAACAGTTGTTTTGAACATTCAATTTCGGGCTCATCCTGTTTGGGTTCATTTTCTTGCGTTGCAATGCCACTAAAAGAAACGCAGTGTTTGTGTTTTATTTATGATTTTTGAAGTACTTTCAATATACACAACATTTTTTGTTTTGTTTTTAACGTCCGATGCATACTCGAATAAAATGAAGGTTTTCGACGCACGAGCAGACCACACACAACTGTCCATGTCAGAATCATGGATGTTCAAAATTTAGTCCTAACAGTTGTAGCGATTAATCCCCCCATGCAATAGCTATGTTTGAAATTATATTTATATTGCTCATTTATTACATATAAACAAATTTAGGGGCTACCGATCCCAAACGGAATATTGTTAAATGAATGTACTAATTCAGACACCTACTTCATATGGTACACACAAACTGAAATGTCCCAGTTCGTATTTGTTTTAATTCCATCCACCCATGCAATAGCTATGTTTGAAATTAATTTAACATAGCTCATATCAGAAAAAAAAGAATTTAGGGCCCTCATATTCGTATTAGATTAAAGGTCTATCCATCCATGTATTAAATATGTTTGAAATTATATGTATATAGCTCATATAAGATAAAACGAACATAGGGCCCGCTGGCTCAAAACGGAATATTTTAAAATGGTTTTAATAACTTAATAACCTTTGCGGGCGTGCGCAGAACATCTCGCCAAAGTTTTGTCGCATTTGAATAAAGGGTATAGGAGCGCAAAATAATTTTTTTTTTACAACGCTCATAAAAAAAAACCGAATTAAAGGCCAACGGCCCAAAATGGAATATTTTAAAAGAATTGTAATGACTCCGAAACATGTGCGGGCCTGTTGACTACAACTCATCAACGTTTTATCGCAATCGCATGAATGGTGTAGGAGCGCATACGGGACATACATACACACATACATACGCGCTTACTTTTATTTCATATACATAGCTAAAACCGGACAAACCTTGAAATGATTTTAATGGGCCGTCAAACTCGATTTGAATTTAGAAAGTTAAGTAACGGTGTCTTACTGGCCGAATATAATAACATATTATTGAATTAGTTATATGTTTATAATTTTAGATCATAACAGCCAAACCCATGACCTGTTGACCATCAGGATATGTCATCTAAGTGTTAAATTATTTGCTATCAAAAGATTTGTTACTGTGTCATTGTCCCAATCTATGGAGACGACACCGGCAGCCCCCGTAGCAAGACTCAATCAATAATTACCGTATACTGTCGGAAGGTTCGTGTTCTGCCACTCGTGGCAAGGGTAGGCCACTCTAGGATCCACACACCCGCGACGCGATGGGTCAAACACCGTGCCCACTGGGCAAGATTCTTCGATCGTGATAAAGTTCAAACATTTCAAGTAGAAGCTGCAGGAGGACGGGTGCGGGTATATCCCATTTTCGTAGCCATTTCTGGAACACAACTTCGTAGTATCTGTGTGGGGAAAAAACACAACAACAACAGACTGACATGCTTTCCCATTCGAAATACTAGGCTCCGGATGTATAAGATGCTCTTGTTAATGTTATCAAACTCTACATATAAATATATTAAAACTATTCTTTATTTAAAAAGGGGGGGGGGTGACTTGATGTTTATTATTAGCAAAATGTTTATAGCGGCTTGTCTAATTGCCGTTCCTGATTCTGTTTATGGAAATACTCCACGTGATGAGTACACACAACGCTTTGTTTGCATCTCTGCAGATGGATTGTGAGACGAGGGATGTGAAAGAGGGGAGAGAGAGAGAAAAAGTGAGAGAAAGAGAGAGAGAAAAGTGATGAGAAGAGTCATTTTAAATGCGAAAGAGCAAAAGTGCATTATAACATTCCGACAGGAGTAACACAGTAAGGGGTTAGAGGTTTGCACAAGAGAAAAAAAATGAGTTATGAAAGAGGGTGAGACTACAGATATACTGGACCATAGGTAACCAAAAAAAAAAAAGAGATGATAATTCAAGTAGAGTGCACATAAAACTTAGACAGATGAGAGATAATAGAGAGATTGAGCTGGAGAGATAAGTGAGTGATATAAGTGTCAGAAGAAGAGAATAGAAAGTGACAGCAGGAAGAGCGAGAGTGATAAGGAGAGGGAGAAAGAAAGAGAGAGGTAGAGACAGAGAGAAAGAGAGAGGGAGAAAGAGAAAGAGAGAAAAGAGAGGGAGAGAGAGAAGATAGGGCGAAGAAGATGTACGAAAGATACAGAAGGTATATCTACATCGGTCATCTTGTCATCACGTTGAAATACGTACTGGGTGTTAAGGTAGACGACGCGTTACCGCCATCTTTCCCCTCGAAAGAATTTTAGCTGACCCCAAGTTTCAACAGCTCGTTTTGGGTGTAGCTAATTAAACATAGTTTCCCTTGACCTTGTTTACAACTAAATAAAATCTATAACCTGTATTATTAAATTATGTAGAAAACTCAAGATAAAAGAGGAAACGAATACTATTTGTGAGCCCGTTCTAGAAATATCTCTAAAACAGGCTATACATACGCCTAGAGAGAATGGGCGACAGAAACACAGAGAGAGAGATTTTTATTATCACTATTGCGATAGAGATTGGCTCTACGAGACAGAGATTTGTTTACTAACATTTGCTGTGTGTGAGTGTGTGTCAATTCCTTTTGCATCATTGTATCTTCTACATTATTTTATCTTCTTCAACATTGTACCGGAATATGCCAATCATTATACTGTAAGTCAACAGTTTTAGTATCATTTTACTTTTGACTTTGTAATTTATTATAAACTTAATAAAATTATTGATTGTAACTGGCCCTGGTTTGGGTATCGTTTTCTTTGTTATTGTATTTAATTCATGGTATGGTCTTTTGTTCTGTACTGTTTTAGAACTAGCCATAAACGTAAATATATTAAATTCTCCATACTGATAACAGCACGTAACACAGGACAATGTCCAGTGCAAAATGTTCATAAAAGTTCCATAACTGAAGCTATGCAAACTGACCGTTGTATCCTGGAGTCAACTGCCCCGACACAGCGTCACTGCCCAGACAGAGGCTCGTGTAGTTGGCTGAGCTGCATGCCGCCGTAGTGAGATCAAAGGCTGATCCAGCCGGACAGACTTTGATGTCTGTTTGGGCAGACTTACACTCGATGTACCGGGTACAGTCTGCGGGATGTCTGTGTCTGCCGTCTGGTAACTTCTCGTCCATACTGAAAGTGGAATAGTCTATAAAGGAAGTACGGGAAAGTAAAACAAAGAAACAACGCCAGAGTATGATCACATATTTTACGTGGCTCATGGTGACTAAATTAATGTAAAAAGCAAGGAAAAATACGATTGATAACAATGAATTAATAAAGAATTCTTTTTTTCTAAAACTGTGTCCAATTTTGTGTAAACATTTTAAAACTGCGTTTGTACAAGATTTGAGACCATCTCCTGTTTATTTAGCTCTATTTAATCTTTAAAAAAGTTGCTTAAAATTATCTATTGTGTTCATCATGGTCGATCCTTGACGAAAAAACAACAAAATATTTTAAATTTAAAAAAAAAATCATTTTACTGCAAGAAACTAACTGCTATAATTTTTAAAAAAATAATAAGAGTAGGCTTTCTTAAAACGAACTGATGTATAAGAAAGGTGAGGGGGGAAAAAAAGGGGGGGGGGAGTGTAACACACTTCTACTCTGACATGGCGTGGGATGTTATTTCTTATGCTGTGGGTTATGTCAGTAGTATGGTTACTTATATTAACGCTTCAGGATGCCGACTCAGTCTTCTTCATTCTTTCACTTATTATTCAGGCACGTAAAGAAGAATGCTCAATTCTAGTTAAAACTCACAGTACTTTATTGAACACACTTTATATTGATAATATTAATAAATAATCCTTGCATGAATGTAATTTCACATATATATCTATAGTATTCCATCATTAAGAAAGACACGTCCTCAGACTACTATAACTCAGCTCAACTGTCTAATCTCACAGCTCTCACGCTACTGACTGACTCTACTGCTCTGCGCTCAGCTCTCTACTATCTCAGTCAACTCATACTTTATTACCAGCAAAGCGTGCAAAACAACCGCTCTGACAAAAACATAATTTTACTCTCCAAAAACGTGGAGTTCACATTTGTTCTCAAAAATACAATCCACATTGATTGTCTCTCCCCGTGGAAAAACCTGGTGAACACACTCACTGTCCACTCATGCTACCTCTCTGTTTACATGTGAAAACATAGTCCGTTACAGGGAGGGGTAGAATAAACGCGAAAGAACAGGTGAGGAGGAATTAAGATGGGAAGTAAAAGTAAGATATTTGTATGACGTGGGCGAAGGGAAAAGAAAGTAAATGATGGGAAGGGAACGGTTGAAATCCATGACTGAAGCTATAGCAAGTACGATTACAAAACCATATCACTTCTTATTGTTCATACTTATAGTAATATTTAAGAAAAGTGTCATAAAATAGGTACGCTAATATCTAAAATCTCACCTGAAAGTGGCCCCCACACTTGAACTGTTGAAAGAATAAACAGTTTTATGAGTCCTCTGAGTTAATAAATGCATTACTGACTAAGTTTTCGAAACGCTGTGAGCTTTACTGGAAGAATTTAGCTTGAAAGGGATAGTAGCCGTAATAAAAATAACATATTTCCATTATTTTCTCAATGATAAGGAGCTTAAAGCTAAAACATATTTTTATCTTATGTTCTCCCCTACTCCAACTCATCAACTCTACCAGATGTCATCTTATTATGACCTCCCTTGCCCCCCCCCACCAACTCATCAACTCTACCAGATGTCATCTTATTAAGACCTCCC